TGGGGGGAATGGGGGGGGGGAGTTCAGGATATGTAATTCAGTCATATCATGATAGGAACTGCAAGTTAACAGGCTGAAAAACACAGGAACACCCCCCCTCCTCGCTATACACATTCCCCAGAAATAACTGGTAAATGAATGGAACTGAAAGATATAAATGACTTCTGGAAATGACAAGCAGAAGTAATGACTTCAGACAAGACAGCAGATTTGATCTGGAGGTATAATAATTAATGTCTGACGAAATTACCTTCAGAAAAGACAAATGGAAATGTCAGAAAGTAATTACAGAAAAATACAACAGAGAAATATGACAAACCTTAATGACAGACAGAAATGGCAAAACAGTAAAGACAAACAGAAACATATCAGACTGGACAGTGGACTTGATTTGGAGGTTCATCAGCAATATATGGAAAAAGAAATTAATCAAATTCCACTTTTATGAATCCCAAAAAGACGAAACTTGATTTACGATAATGTTCATAAATACATATTACATTAATTTTACACAATGGTACAACAATGTTATTAAATCCACAATACCCCACTAATATAGATAGTAAACAGGCTTTTCCTTCCAGTGTGGAGAGGCGGACCAAACTGTTGAACACATCCTTCAGCACTGCAAGACACACAGGGCCCTGAGACAGGAAACGTGGCCAACCCCACTGACGCTACAAGAGAAGCTATATGGGCCGCCAGATGAACTGAGCAGGACGGCCCAATTTATGACAGATACCGGACTTCAAGTGTGATGCGATCGAGAAGAAGAAGAAGGCTCATCCTTGTTGACACTCTTCAGCTCCCTGTTTTTGAGCTTGGGTTATTGTGCCTTGTCCACGGACACACCCCAGAGAGATTCCACATAAACGCAGATTCAAAGACAGATGCTTGACATTACTGTGAGCCTGAGCCCAGTAACCACTCGGCCACTGGACATACTGAACAACAGCAGATTTATGTGAAGCATTCGAAGAGGAAACTGGACGCACCCATATTCATGAAGCTTAACTTACTCTGTGACATATCAAGCCTAACATCTTTAAATTGACAGAATTTACACAAGCACTCTGAAAATTCATTCCCTGACATTAACGAAATTGAGAGAAAAAGATTCGGGGGGGTTTACAAAGATATTCAGTACGTAACCAGCAATTCCTGTATATTTGCCTGAAATGTGAAAGATTTGAGGACACGCAGACTGAATTTTGGTATGGAGAGAGACAGAGAGAGAGAGAGAGAGAGAGAGAGAGAGAGAGAGAGAGAGAGTGAGTGAGACAGTGAGAGAAAGAGAGAGAGAAAGAGAGAGAGAGAGAAAAAGAGAGAGAGAGAGAGAGAGAGAGAAAGGAGGAAAGGACAGTTCACGAAGCAGTTTTATACTACTCCTACTACTTACCTTAAAAGATTCCTCTTCCTCCTTATAGATCGGGTCAAGCCTGGCTAATGGTGCTAAGAACTCATAAGCTTGTAACGGCTTCTTGGCCAGCTGCTGGATACGTCGGTCAGTCAACACCTGGACAAAATGAGAAATGTGACTGTTACTTTCTGTCCCCTATTTTCAAACTGTCAAGAAAGTGAACAGAGTTAATATTATTTCACATATCACTTAAATGAAATGTGTAACGGCGCGGTGGAATCAGGCACTCGTCAATTTTTGGGGCATGTAGAGTTATTGGCATCGTCTTAAAGCTTGTTCATTTGTCATGCTTTCAGTGGAAAAAAGTACCCATCTATCTTGAATAGAAGTTGAGAAATAGGGATTGAAGGAGTTGCGGGTCAGCTGGTTTCAGAGGTAAAATTAGATTGAAAAGAGCCGCCAAAGTTTGGTGACTTCCAAAGTTTGAGAGTCCTTGGAAGCTGAAAGTTTACATATTTTGTACCTTTAATCAATGTTTTATAGTAAAATTGAAACAGAAATGTGTTTTTAAATGTATATAAACGGCATCGAGCCAAAAAACAAAAATTATGTAGAAATTGTCACACCGGCAGAAAAATGCCGGTGTGTTCCATTTTATTATTTTGATGAACGCCTGATTTCACCATGATATCTCACAAATGGCTGTTACTTTCTGTCCCTTATTTTCAAATTGGAGCAAAACACAAAAGAGCAGCCAGCTACCACTTATGTGTTACTACTGACAAGGGTAAACGAGTCAAACATAATGAAACTCACTCCAGAAATTCATTCAAACCAACGGGGACGGAAGAAAACTATGAGTCGCCTTCGACACCTTATAACAGCACACCAAAGAGGTTATTTTTAGTACTAGAGTTCGTGGCAGTAATGTCCCTACATAAACAAATGGGGGCTGCATGTGCCCACAATGGGACATTGAACCTCAAGGGCAAGACAGGCGTTGTTCAACAGATGAGTAAGTACTTTTCGAGACTCACATGGGGTGTCTCGGCAGCCTTAGGAGGAAATCTACAAGCTTGCACTGAAATATGGGGTCTAGGTATTGTTATTAGAACTTTTGTGGAGCGGGTGGGGGCTTAGATTGTTCATGTAAATGGGGCACGCCGGCCACACCGATGAGGGCGGAAGGCCCCCAATGTCTGACACTTGTGACGTCACAGAAGTGAGCTCTAGTATTACATATAACCTCTTTGCAGCACGCACAAACAAACAATATTGGGCCGGGCAATTGACTCACCTGCTGTACAGCTGTGACCAGGTGACCTGGAGTGTAGCCGTCGGTGACCTTTGACAAGGAGCTGATGTCAAGGTAGTTGGTTAGCTGACCCCCAAACTTTAAGATCATTTTCCGCCAAAGCACTGAAAACAACAAGAAGAAAATAACAAAATGTATGTTATTTTATTTCCTACTTTGTTTTCTGTTCGAGTAAAAGAGATGCACACCATCGATGTAAAAACAAGCAACGGAAACAGCTGGAGAAAGGAAACAAAACAGACATCGTACCAGAACCAAAGCAACCTCCAACTCCCAAATAACATTCAGCTTCCTCCAAGGTCCCCTACCTCACCCCCTTTCTGTATGCACACACATGTATACAAACACACACACACACACACACACACACACACACACACACACACACACACACAAACACACACACAAACACACACAAAAAAACACCCTCCCACAGAAAAGAATAGATATAACAGAAATAAAATCTCAAGCAACACCTTCAAACCGCTGCCACCATTGATGGCCTCTTGCATTTTGACGGATAATCTTAAAAGTAGGATACAGCTTTGTCTGGGCAGTAGACATAGAGCACGGCGCACCGGCAGTGAAATTTTAGTTGCCGCGGGGGGTTCCCCGCCGGGCGCCTTATCACATCGGGGTCACGGGGGTCAGCTCACTGTCGCCGCTCTGTCTGGGCTGACCTAATTTTTGGTACTTTTCAACGTACAATTTAAGGTGTATCCTTGTATTTATGGTAATTCTCATTTAGTGCACCCAAAGCACGCATTTCTGCTCGTGAGACTCAAAAAAGAACTGACGTTGTAACTTGTCTGGTTATTCCGTTAGACGCGCTGGAGTTGGCAATGCTAAATTGTAAATTTTTTTGGACTAGCGTGAATGAAAAAAAATCAATATAAAAAAAAGGCATCGTCAAAATCTGTCGAACTTTTGGAACATGAACGACATAACATTGGTGCAGATACTCAGAAAAGATGGTATCTGCGCTTATAATAGAAAGCTGTAATTTTACAATTTTATCCATTGGGCACACAATTCGCTATGAAGTAATTCCTCCAAATACAACTTAATGTGTCTAATATAATCGTGAATATTCGCATATTTTCTCGAAAGTTTATAAAAGTTACTATGAAGTTTCTCTATGAAAAGTACAAATCGATTTTAGTGCTAGAATACATCTTCAACGTAGATCTAATACACGAACAGTATCTGTTACACTCCAGAAATTCCTTATTTTTCTTAAAACGCTAAGTCTAGGTTTTGTCAGTTGACTGAATAATAGGGATTACTTCTCGTAATTGGGTTATAAGAATAATTTCTAGCTTTCCAGGGACACTGAATCAGCACCAGACTTTTCCAGCTTTTTTTTTTTCATTTCTATGACCATTTGCAATAACTGACAATGTGACTGATTTCTTTACATTCATAATTGTGTCTGCGCATATTTCCTACACAAAAACTAAGAATGAATGTGTTAGCTGTTATTATTTTTATTCCATACAAGAAGTTTATCTCTACCCATGTATTTACACGGTTTTGTGGGGTTTTTTAATCACTTAGATTCTATACATGTATTATATCTTTATAGTTGTATGCAGGCTGCCACAGACACAGCATGATTCATGGACAAACGCTGAGTAACTTTCTCTTGTTTAATAGTAAAATAAGAGCTAACGGTGATCGTGTTTAGTTAAAAAATGCAGATGTGCATCTTTCTTCTCTTATAACTTACTACTCGTGCAGATTTAAGATTTCTCGAGGTAAAGGACATGATATTAGTAGTCAGTTTAACACAGATTTTGGAGAGATCTGTCGAGCCTTTTTTAAATTAACAATCATTTATTCATAAGTTTGTAACTAAAATAGGACAAATTGGGTACTCTACAAACACTTGTCTAGAACAAAAACTAAAGCACAGAAACTAACCATTCTAACGCAGAATAAATCTCAAGACATTGAGCTTTTAGTACATCCGCGTAATGGTTTGCTATGTGGGATGGGGAAAGAAGTTATATCATTTTAAACATAGTAAAAAATGCGAACTTCCTGACCGACACCGGCAAAGTCGCTTCAGGGCTCATTAACCCTGTGACCCCGAGCCGCGGAGCTCCGGCGGGCTGCTGAATCACGCGAACTAAAAGTAACAGAATCGGGCGAAAAGTGACGCCGTGAGAGGAATTAGATTGCTCAAGTAGGCCTACTACTTCCCTCCATTCAGATCTTGACTTCCTTGATATGCTCCAAAGGAGAGGCAATGTCAGTGAATTTGGAATCAAGGAAGCTGTAAGGGTGTGTCATACTATTTTTTCTTCTCTGCTAGATGTCATGGCTAGTCGGCTACTGGTTCTTCAACCTGCAGTGCAACTGATTTTTACATATGAGACCATTTTTCCTGCTCAGTACAAGCACGCAGGTAGTATTGTTATGTTGAGCAATAGAATGGCTCTTCACCTTGCATATAGTGGACATAAGTTCAAATCCCATCTGGGGAGGACATTTTAACTCCATACATCATGTATATGTGTGTCTGATGAGATGCATCTTACACTGTTGGCTGGATCAAAGCATCCCACTTTATTTTAAAATGATTTTGTGTCAATTGGTGAGCAAACGTAAATAACTATGGCTCTTTGCGTATTTGGAAGTAATGTTCAGGTTGACTCACAATGCCTAGAAGCGTAGTCAGGGCGAGGGATGAGAATAATCCGCTGGTAGCAACTCATCAACGGTTTCATCTCGCCGTCGAAGGGGCAGCGGCTTGTACCCACCAGCAGGAGGCGGTCATCTGACTTGATGGTCTTCAGCGCTTTAGGCAGCTCTTTCTTCAGCCTTTTAGGGTCAGTCTGGTGGGAAAAGGTGAAAGGGTTGTTTTCTTCTTAAATTAAATGTCAAAGGCTCATATTGACACAATTAGAGCAGAGCTTGTCAACCTTTTTTATTGCCTGCAACCAGTTTTGTTGCCTTTAAGAAGCTAAAATCTTTGTAGCATCCACCAACATTTTTTCCAAGCAAGGCATTAAATAACACCTGTCACTACCCAGGTGATCTCCAACATGCATGAAAATTACCAATAAAATGTCTAATAATGGGTAATATCTCTCAGGTCAGCAAGCACTGAATACGAGCGAGGGAAAAAAAAACAGTACTTTGGTATCATAAAGGGACATAACAGTCTGAAGAAAGAACGCATTTTGTGAGGAAGATTTCCTAGAAAACAGGGTCAAGGACACCATAAAAAAGGATAGAGTGAGGACATCTTTGAGAATTGGAGACCAGTCACTACCTCAGAATTACGAAGTTCCATCTGCTCAGTACTTAGTTTTGAGAAATTTAATGTCAAAGATTTTGAGTTTCAGATCAAGTCAAGATTTTTCTAAAGCAATTCTTTGAATATCTTGACAACGACTCTGAATAATCTTGCAATTTTGATAGAGCAGATAAAACATTAATAGGTTTCTGACCTCATGGTCTTAGAAACTCAAAATGGCCAAAAATGTCAGATAGAACTTTGTAACTCTGATGTAGCGAAGTGTTATCACAGCTGGACATGTGGTGCAGAAGAGAATTGTTTTCAGAGGGCCGTCAGAATATTACGCTCTGAAATGGAAGTGTCTAGTTTTAGTAAAAGTTTCATGGCACTTGCAACACAATCAGGTTATATAAGTGCAGAAGATTAGTGGTATTACAAGAGAGAAACAAACACAAAAACGAAGCAGGAGAGATATAGATGAAAGATAATTGATAGGAAAGAAGGAGCAAACCATACCAGAGCATCTGCCAACCACCCACAAAGGGATCTGTACATGCAACAAGGCTCAAATTTCAAGATATATTTACTTCAGTAAAGTTTAAAAATAGAGAGAGAGACATTGTTCTAGCGGCTCTCTATGGAACTTTACCTACAAATAGTCCAGTCCAAAAACCAAGTAATTTTTTAAGAATGGTCCTCAATAAAAGGATATAATTCTCCCAGAGTGTACCTGGACCAAAATTTTAGAACGCCAATTATGAAGTCAAAAGACACTGATATTGTCACTATAAATTTACACATGCACGGATGGGAAATCAAAAGAGAATGGGCTTCACGTTTCGCCATTTCCTCTTTCTGAAAAGTATTTATCCTTGTTTTCCAAAGTCTCCCTCCTCCCTCTCTGCTTTTCCTCTCTTACTTCATCTCTACACCTCCCTCCTCCCCCCAAGGAGAGTACCTGACTCCATGACTATTAGCAGAAAGACAGGAAACTGAAAAGAAAATGAAAAACAGAAAAAAAGTATGGAGGATTTTCTATTCAAATATTGGGGAAATAGTAAGCATGTAGTCACCCTACTGTGTTGATGGAACTAAAGAAAAAAGCTGTTTCTTGTAACCAGCACAAGCACGAGAAGAAAAAAAAAGGAGAAAGACAACAAATAAAAAATAGGTGTCACTTACAGGATCAGTCTTGGGAATTTTCTTTTTGAACATTTTCTCACATTCTCCAATGTAGAAAACAGAAGGTTGCAGAGCTCGTCCAACCTGGAGAGGGTGAGACAAGGGAATCAATATAAAGCAACAATCCATAAAGAATGAGGAATTAGAATACCTATTTTTACTCAGTATATAAAGAATGAGGCCTGTCAGACTAGAGCGGGAATCATCAATAACAGAGTATATATGTGCTGATCAAGCCAGTCACTAATCTTCTCTATCTGACACTTCATGTTTACCATGTGTGCTTGGGTGTGTGTTTGTATTGTATCTGTGTGTGTACATGTGATTATGTTCGTCCTTCGTTGGTGAAGGGCTTTGACTTCATACAACATTTGGGGGTGGGGCATGTGTGGAAATGACTGATCAGGATGATCTTTGCCCACAAATGTCTGTTGCTTTGGGGATAGGGGATGTGTGGGGTTGAACTAGGCTGAGAGGTGAGGCTGTCTCAGTATTCTTTCAGCTGACGTCTCTGCTCTTTGCCTCTGATACATTTTTTATTGAATTTAGCAACTCCAAATCTTATTAAGAAGCACCAGACAGTAAAGTCTTAAGGGGCAACCTAATCCATATAATAGCATACCTTGAAGATAAGATGCATGAGCATCTTGAGTCCATCCTTGCCAGGGTACTTCCCTGCCAGGTTGCCTGGGGAGAGGTCAAAGAAGTTTGCCCCCAGCTCGGTGCACATAGCCTGGACGAGCGTCTTCTTCCCGGTCCCCCGAGGTCCGGCCAGCATGATGGACTTGGTCAGCGGGCAGTTCTCATGGACAGCCGGGGAGCCTGAGATGTCAAGACACAGGGTGTGAAACAATGTGTCTTTCTCAATATATCATCGATACATGATAGTCTCCAGGGGAACATGGGAGTGCTTGGGTATTAGAGATGTGAGTGCAGTGGCGGTGGGTGAACCTAGATTTGGGTGGGGCTTAGGTTTCTTCCACTTCCTTACCACCAAAAAACAAGCAATAAGAACAACACAGTGACGATTTTTCTATACTCACAGCGAGCCACGGCATTTTGAAAACCATTCAAACGAGAAGAGTCATCTACATTAAATTCTTCTGGATGGTGGGGACGAAGCCGTTTCACCTCCAAATTTCTCTAATTAGTTTTTATTTGATTATTGTTAAATCTCAGCGGCACAAACACACAGCACTCCAAACACACACCGTGTATGAGGTGGATTGGGTCGTGTTGTTGCAGAAAATAGAACGCGCCTAACAAAGGCCCAATTGGCGCATAGGTAACTGTGTCACTGGGGGAAAGTGTGTCGTAAACTTTCACCCCATTGTCAGGGCTGGGAGAGCGTGAGCCCTCTGTGCAGTGTTATTTTTTTCAAGTCTTCTACCTTTTTACAAGAGGGGTTTCATTACGGAGAGACCGTGGGAACGGGCTGGTTGATTTATGAGCCCTAAAGACATTTGATTGGCTGTTAGGTTACTATAGTTGTAAGCGGGGACAACAGTGATTGGATAAACGAGCAAGCCGCCTAGTTGATCACTCTGTGTTCATTGCGGTCAATCAGAACTGTTTCAACTGCTGATTTCGTGGGGGGTTTTTTGCCTTGAGATAGACTTCGGGGGTGAGGAGGGGGGCTCAAGCCCGTGAGCCCTTCACTACCCACTGCCACTGTGTGAGTGTTTGTGTTTGCGGTTTTTTTGTATGTGAGAGTGTTTGTGTTTGTGTAGGCCTATGTGTTAGGTTCTTTTGATGTGCATTTGTGTGGTAGTATTGATATGAAAATATTTCTATTTTGTGTAGTAGATCTGTTGAAAGCATGTTGCTAATTTCTTCCCTATATGGATCAATACAATAAACTTAACCTTATTTTATAATTCAGTTCAATCTTATTATAAAGAGCCCAAAAATCAAATCACCAGGTATTGAAGGACGGAAAGATAGCAGAATCCCAGATGACTGGCAACGTGCCATGATTGTATGAATAAACAAAAACAAAGGAAACAAGAAGGGCTGCCGCACTTACAGGGGAATCTTTCTACTCAGTCATACTGGGAAGATAATTATGTGCTAAGATATCAGAACAAAGAACAAGACTGCGGCTTTAAATACAACTTTACAGAACACAATTTTATTCCAGAAAAGGAAGAAGTTGCACAGGTGCAATATTCACGCTTAGACAACCCACTGAAAAGGCAAAAGAATAAGACCAAGAATTAAATGCTGTCTTTGTGGACCAAGAAAAGGCCTTCGACTGAGCAGACTGAGACAAACTGGTGACAATACTGGAAGAATACAAAATCAGACGACAACTACTGGACATCACCACAGCATTATTAGAACAAAATAAAACAACTGTAAGTACATCACACGAAAAAATACAATGGTTCCAAGTAAGATCAGGAGTAAGACAAGGTTGTATACTATTTCCTTTACCATTTATAATATATATGGACAAAATAACAGCAGAAGCTAAGCCAGAAGACAACACAATCTACAAGCTTCCTTTCTCATGATGACCAGAGCACATAAGCAACAACGAGAAGACCGTCCAAGAACACATAAACAAACTGAACAAAAACTGCAAAGACCACAACATAAAGATCAGGACAATCAAAACTGATGTAATGAAAATGAGCAAGACACCAGACCCACTAAAAATCACAGTTGACAACAGCAAAATCAAGCAAGCAGAAGAGTTCAGATACCTAGGACGCGTGTTCACCAAAGACGGACCAAGCCCAAACATGGACAATAAACAAGAGTCCCCAAATAAAGACCTATGAAATGAGATGCCTAAAAAAAACTTTGAACATCACAATAAAAGACAGGGTGAGAAATGAGGACAAGTTAGCTTGACTCCGTGCTTGGAGAACAAACTCACTCTCTGGCTTGGGGCTTGGGTCCATTGAATTAAAGTATAATGCTTTCCTTGTACATTGTTCTTCACCTACACTCCCCCTCCCCACAATCCTGAATTTTCAACAGTATTAGCGAGCAGAGTTAGCTTCATTTGATGTATTGCAGTCCTCTTTCTTGCAGTATGACAAAAAAAATTGCATGGACCGAGGTCACTCCTTGAGTTATAGCAATTCATATGACCTAAATCTTGAATAACATGAATACCGTTATGTTATGGTAGCTTAAAGGGAATGATAGAATGGAATCAAGCCTTGATACATTCAAAGACTACATTTTAAAGTGTGATGGGTACTTCAAGGCGCAATGGGACATAGCCACTCCAGGATATATAACAATATGTCTAAAGGTTGTCTTTTTTCCATTTTAGTTAGAGTTTAGGGCACTTGCAACACAATTAAATCATAAAAATGCCAAATATTAGAGGTGCTACAAGAGACTAACATATGAAGAAAAGAAGGAGGAAAGATAAGAACAATGGAGGTTTGATAAGAAAGAAGGAGCAAGCTCCACCAGATCACCCGCTAACCACCCACTCAAGTGTCTCACCCAGGGGAAGAATGCCAAATTCTGTGACCAGACGTCGTACATCAGAGAGTGAGGGCATGGGCTCAATGTTGGCTTGTCTCAGAGTTGTACCGAGATAGCTGTACTCTCCCTCATAGTCAGCCAGACGGATGTTCGGGCAACGAACGATGATGCCCTGGGTCACCAACTCCTCATACAGATCTTCCATCGTGCTGTGGACGGGCATAGATTTTTGTTTTTTTAAGAAAACTATAAGCCATTTATCTATAAATAGAGCTCTCAGCTGTCAAGGTTCATCGTCTATACCACCCAGGTCATAAAGACAAAGGGAGATCAAGTGGAAAAGAAGTCTAGATTCAGTGACAGAAATTCCACACCTAATGATCTAAGAATCTTGATAACAGTTCCAACAGCCCACATCTGGTTAGAAAAAAAAAACAATCATTGTCAGACACTGATCAAATCTGATTGCACTATTTCCTTCTAAGTTCGAATCAAAACAAGTTTTTAACTCATTCGCTAAGCCGAGCCGTGGGGGGCGGCGCGGCTAAAGTGCTGTCAATACGTTAAGCCGCCCCCGGCGGCTCGAGAACCGACGTTCAATTTTAGCTTGGTTTCTATTCCAATCCACATATCCATGTTAAAATAAAGGTCATAATATAAAGTTGACTTCCGGGTCAAGCGTTTCCACCGAAAATCGGAAGTTTTGATTCAGTTTTGAAACATGATTTAGAAGTTTATGCGACATTGTTTTATCGCGAAGCCCAAATTATAGCCCAGACACCAGTCTTAATACGCTTACATAACAAAATGTATCATTATTTTGCTCACTAAAGAAGTGTAGGACTCTTCTTTATAATATTGATACAACTGGACTCAAATTGCCAGTGCACTGTAATTGAGAAATCAATATTTTTGAGTGCTGGATCTAAATAGTCGAAATATTATTTTTTCTCCCCAAAATCACTACTTTTTGGTGAATTTACTCATAAAGTACCACCCAAGACATGTATAGGTTCATTCCAAATGCAATTCTGAATAATTCCATATAAGATACGAGTGTTTTTTTTCTGTTTGGGATCCTTTTTTCAAAATTATTTTTAAAAAAAATTTTTTTCAATATCGGAGGTTATGATCCAAATGTACAAATATTATGGAATGTATGTAAATAACTGCTCATTTTTCAATATTTTCCTGTTCTATATACAGTTATGGTTATTTTGATGTATAATTTGACTAGATGCAAATATATTTTTTGAGTTTCATCTGAGATTATAAATTTTTTGTTTTCAAATTTTATCCGCAGCCAATCACAATTAATTGTGTTGCATAATCGTCTCTTACAGGAACCAAACTTTAAAAAATACTCAAATAAACAATACAGATCTATTCTACAAACCATACTGAAAATGTTGGTATATAATATGTTGATATTTATTTGAATTTATGGCCCCCAAGACCTGTGAACTGCGCACTAGTCATCATCTCATTTCGCCCTCCCGAAAAAAATTCGTCCACAAGCAGAAAATAATACGTAGCGAATGAGTTAAAGTGTAAAAGCTGAGGAATGTCTATGGTACAAACATAACATAAAAACAGAAAGCGTTATTTACGTGTTTTACGTGTTCAAGAAAAAAAAGCAAAAGAAGTAATGGATGAAATTTGTCTTTAACCATCCAAGTTTTTTTAGGATTTAAAAAAAGAATGGGAAGTGTCTCGGAGAGGAAAAAGAAAAAAAAAAGCAAATATAAAAAGACAAGAAGCCGGTCTTGGACTTGGAGCAACAGGGATGTGAGTGTGTTTTTTCTTTGTGGGTATGAGTGTTTCAGTGGAACAGTGACAAGCAGAGATGGTTAAAAGAATCTCATGTCAGAGTGTATAGGTTACAGGTGTAAGATCCACAAAGATAGTTGGCCAGAAAAGAGATTTAGTAAAGTTTGCATGCACATGAAACACTGTCAATATTCATGTCTTACCGGTCAGGAGTCAGATCTTTCTCCTTCTTTTTGCCTTTCTTTCCTTTCTTGCCGGACTTCTTTCCCTTCTTCTTTTTCTTCTTCCCGGATTTCTTCCCTTTCTTTCCTTTTTTCTCTCTGTCCACAGCCTGAAAAAAAGGGTTCAATTTTAACAGGGGATTCAAGATTTGATATAGCAAATTCTACTTTAATTTTCACACCCACTTAAAAACCTAATATAAAACAGATTCTTAAAACTGACTATACTTTGTAGCCAGGCTCATTCAGGCTTAGAGCAGTGTCACTTAATTCTTGCCTGTCAGTTCAGTCTGCTCCGCTATCACTAGGTTATTCAGATCAGTTGCCCCAATTCCTCCAACTGCCAGAACTAGCTGGGTTAGCTATTTCAACATAAGGGGTACTGTCAATAAAATCTATTATTAACAACTGAAACAGGCGCACCGCTTTTAAAAATAAAACCCATAGATATTTCTGAGAAAAAAAGTGTCCTAACACAATAAAAGCAGACGCTCATCAATTTGTAGGCATATACAGTTATTTATATAACGTTAAAGCTTGTTCATTTGTTATGCTTTTGATGAAAAATATACTGATCTATCTTGAACAGAAGTCGAGATATTTACAATTGAAAGTGGTGGAGTCACCTGGTGTCAAAGGTAAAATGAGCAAGAAAATAGCTGCCAAAGTTTGATGACTTTAAAAGCTTGAGTGTCCTCGGAAACTGCACAATTGTGTTTCTTGTGCTTTTGGTAAATGCCCCTCCCCCCGAAAAAAAATTTGATAAAATTAGCTCAATGAACAGTAAAAATTTTATTTTGACGTGCCCTTGATTTCGTCACTGTGCCATACAAAACTTTTTTCATTATATTTTTATCTCTTCACAAGGTCTCTAGTCCTGATTCCATCTTGTTCTATAAAAATGAATAACAAAACACACAGACAAGTTTAAACATGTGCTGAATATGACAAGACTCACGGCCTTGAGATTTGACAGCTCAGCCCGCATGAGCTCATCCACCGAGAGGCGAACTTCCTCCTCCACTTCCTTCCTCTTCTCCTCCTTGATGAGTTCGGAGTCATGTTTCTGGGGGAAGTTGTCTGTCTCATCGCGTGTGGCCCACACACCTACACAGGAGAGTTTGAAATAGTATTAAAAAGTGACAGATCTTAAAATCAAAAGATATGTGGGTACGGGATAATCACAAAACCAAGGACAATGGAAACACCAGTACACAATGGTCTTCCTCACAGATCCCACATTGTATAGTCATGATCACCTTAGATCCCCCTTTTCCAAGAACACCAGATTTTTGTTATACAAACATCATCCTTAATCCCCCCCTCCTTTCACTCTCCAAAAATCCTGTTCCTGTTCAAGTTCCAACTTTTAAAAATTGGCATCAGATCCCATTTTTCTCTATTCTGATTTACTGAAGTAAAACTTCAACAACCTGCTATTGAGTAAAATGCATTGTTTTGAGATTGAGACAGCGCATAGTTTTCAAAGTCAATGTGTAGGTAGCAAACTGGATTGTGCCTACATGTGCCGAGTCAAGGGAGCCTTTATTCTGCAAGACCAACACCTCTCATCGTAACCTAGCAACAAAAACTCTACTTCACACGCTGGGGTCATATCACTGCCAGTTTCAAGAAGGTCTTACGTAAAGTGGAGATCTGAAATTCTGGCCACTGATCTGAACTACATCTTGATCACATTCTCTTGTCAAGCGTCTCTTCACGATGAAAGGGAATATGTAAGGGATGAGAGTGAGCAAGCAGTGGAGAAGGGGAAGTAATTTTAACTTATTCTATTGTAAGGTCACTGGTTGCTTCCCAATAATTTGGTTAAGATCCCTTTCAGCAATCCCGTTGCATTTCACTGATTCTCGAGCACCAGGATCTAAAGAGAAGACCACTATAGCTGCTTAGTAGCAAAAAAAGAAGTACCCACTTTAATAATTCGCGACAAAGAATACAAAAGGAAAGTGAAGCCAATTGAGTGCAAAAATCATGACAAACTGTGTAAATACTTGCAGCTTAAATATCATGGGCAAAACTGATCGTCGACGAGCTGACTGTGTTTATACTAAAAGTAAGACAACAAGCAAGTGACAGGACAAAGGTGAAATTTGAAACTATTGTACGGGGAAAATTTGTCAAGATTTTGATTCAGTTGATGTTGTTATAACAATCCGGAAAATGTTTCAGAAATGAGACTTTTAAAAAAATGAAAGATGTATAATCGAAATGCTTGAGAAGTAACCTGTATGAAGACTGCAACCGTCAGCCGTGCAAGAAAGAGGAGACTTGTGCATTATTTTTGCCAGATAAGTCTGGCTTTGTGAGATCTTCTCAGTATTCAGACGGAAAGCACTTACAGTAACCCTAAATCTGATTCTTTACAATAACTTTAAAATATTCAGTGATCAAACCCCAGCATATATTACATGGCAGAGCTCTGAGAAACTATTTTTTTAAAACACAGCTTATGGATAAGTACCACAGAAAAATACACCAACAGAGAAAGTGTGAAACATTCATTCCGGCATAACAAAGCATTTACAGTCCAAAAACAGATAGTATAACAGCGATTTTTGTGAAACTATATGTGAGCCTACCTTTGTAAGTATCAGAAGCTTCATTCACAGAGGGGACAAAATTGGAAGGAGCCATTTTCCATCCTTCTTCTTCCTCCTGAAAATACAATGTTTACATAAATAATGAGGATTTAATGTGATATGACAATGTCTGACTATTGCTTCTCTCTCTCTCTCTCTCTCTCTCTCTCTCTCTCTCTCTCTCTCTCTCTCTCTCTCTCTCTCTCTCTCTCTCACACACACACACACACACACACACACAAACACACACACACACACACACACACACACACACAAACACACACACACACACACACACACTCTTTCTTCTCCCACATTCTTGTCCTATATTCAAATAAAAATTGTTTTAAAAAGAGATAGCAGTCACTTTTTAAAACAAATACTTGACAAAATAAGAGCATTAAGAGATAAGGATACAAAACAACAGGACCCCATACATTAAAAGAAAATTTGATATTCATCTGTGTTTGGCAATGAGGTTAAAAATGACAAAATAAAACATGGGGTTGAAAATTTTGAATGCATCAAAGATCACAAAAGTAATTAATTTCGTGACCTGCAAGGAAAGAAATTTTTTTTTTTAATTTGATCAAATCTTCACAGACAACTTAATTTGCCTGCACATAAAAGTCTTACATTCTGCAATTTTACGTGGGCTTATTGAGCCTGCTTTGTGCAATTGGCATGTTGACATTTAGTTCAACATTTCACCCCCCTCCTACACCTTTCCCCCATCCCATTGACCTTTGGAGCCCCTAACCCCAACATTTCAAAGGCTAAGCCCTATCAAAAATACTTTGACACTGTGATGCATAAGCTACATTTATAGCCTACAACCTTTGATAAGTAAACGTCATTGTACCTGTCATAGGCAAACAAATCTATCTTCGCTGGAAACATAGGTTAAAAACAATTATTTTCATGTATCATTTGCAATCTTTTGTAAATAATTCAACCTCCCTTGGTGAATCTGCGATGGCATCATATCTATGTCATCTGACAAAACTTTTTCTTTATCTGCAAAGCTCAGAGACACTTCTACAAACAACAATATCTCATTACCATAATCTTACTTACATCATCATCTCCTCCTTTCTTCCCTTTCTTTCCTTTCTTGTCTTTCTTGTCTTTCTTCTTGTCTTTCTTCTTGTCTTTTCCTCCTTTCTTTCCTTTTCCTTTTCCATCATCCTTCACAAAAAAGAAGCCCAAAATGTCATACTGTTGTAACTTTACATATTTCATTGCATATTTTTTTAAAACAACACTGAAAAGCATAGCTATAGCCGTGTACACATTACACACAAAGGTCACATAAGCCTCAGCTGACCAGTCTGTTTCCAGTTCAAGAAGAAACGTCAGTTTTGTACACACAGAAACAGAAAGGACCAGAGACTATGGACCGGTCACTGTCAGTAAAGATATTCAATGACGAAACATTTCAAACATTGATGACCACTTGTTGTTGAGGAGAAGAGTGGTCACCTTTGATAGCCAGCCCTCTAGGACAGTGTCATTATAAAGTAAAAAACATGCAAGAAGTGAAGTGAGAAGAGTGTGTTTGTACAGGTGATAGTTTTTGACAGGTGGTTCAACTGTACAAGAAAAACAAGCACTGGCTTGATAAGAACCCAACAAAATCACAGTGATAGTTACACACACAGTTTTTTGGGTCATTCAGTTATTTAATCTGATCCTCCCCTTCCCCACTCCTTTTTCCCTCACCCACATGGCTTCCCTATCCCTGGTAATATTCTAATCCACATTCCACCCCCATCTCCCAAAAGACCTCTCTCGCCCTTAAATCCTTTCACCATTACCTTCCTATACACATCATACTAATTGATTTCTACAGTAAACAAACAAGGTACAAGCAAGTTGAGAAGATCAATGAGGGAAATCAAATAAGATCTAATAGACAACAAAAAACAAGAAAAAAGAATATGAGGCAAATAAAGCAAGTTTCAAATTTCAACATCATTTGCCTTTTTAAAAAATCAACTAAAAACAAAAGGTCAACGGAAAAAAAAGGAAAGATAAACGTCAACTTTAAAGAATTTTTCAGAACATCTATTTTATCTTATTTCTTTTCGCCTTTTCATCAGCAATAAGATTAAAGGTTGCTTCTGAAATTCTAAAAATCAAAAAAAATAAACAAGGAGATATAGTTCCACTTCCATCACATGCAAAACACGTAGGAATGCAACAAAATGGGTCATGTGTCACACTCAGCTTTTTCGAGATGAGCAAATAACCTTTTTTTTTTTAAACACTGTGAACCTGACTCCCCCGTAACGATAACCTTGAAATCAAAGCAGCTGGACTGATAATGTTTTCACTCACTTGTAGCAGTCATACAGATCTTTAATTTGATATCCATACTGTTATTTTGTCAAAATGTGACATGTGTCAGGTTGCTTCGCAAATGTTCATCAAAGAAAAGTAAACACAAACAAACACAAAACAAAATAATCACATTTTTTTAAAAGAGAAGTGAAAATCAATTATTTACCCTTTCTGCACACATTATTATTTACTCTGTGAGATAAAATAGCAATACAAATGATCAGCTGAAAGCATAAAAGGAAGAAGCACTGGAGTCAGGCATAATAATATATCAGTAGACAATAAACATTATTTTACTTTCTCTCTCTCTCTCTCTCATTTTCTATCAGTCTGCCAGCCTCTCTCTGCCTGTTAGTCTCTCTTTCTTCAATCTGTCCATCTGACTGTGTATCTGATTCTTACCTTTCTCTCTCTCTCTCTCTCTCTCTCTCTGACTGTTCATGGGGTCGTGCCTCTTTTTTTCTCTCTCCATCATTCTCATCTCTCTCTCTCTCTCTCTCTCTCTCTCTCTCTCTCTCTCTCTCTCTCTCTCTCTCTCTCTTCCTTATTTCTCTGCCATTTTATCTGCATCTAGATTCTATGCCCTTCTCAGAACACAATCTCACACACGAACATAATGACAAAAGCGTCATTTCAGCGAACCACGATGGGTGGGTTGTGAGGGAAAGAACATCACAGAGGTCACGTGATGGGCGTAGTGAGTGAGCCTGTTAGAGTTGGCTGGGCGAGGAATCAATTCCGGAACCGATTCCTACGATTAATGCTGCGGAAGAGAAGTTCTGACTCTTTTTTACATATTATAACCAACGGTTACCAGTTACTGTAATTATTAAAATTTTCTTCTTTTTTTCAAAGAATTTATTTATGAAAAATAAAAGTTGATGCTTCGT